GTGTACTGGAGGTCAGTGGTCAGTGGGTACCTCCAGCTGTGTCCTTACCTGCTGGCAGCGCTCGCACTGGTAGGGCTTCTCTCCGCTGTGTGTCCGCTTGTGTCGCTCCAGGTGGTAGCGCTGAATAAACCTCATGTCGCACACATCACAGGCAAACGGCTTCTCCCCTGCGCCCCAGGCGACAAGGCAGGTCAGCAACAACAATAACAATCTGCCGACGTTTTATACCGGGATTTTCATCACAAAGTGCTTCATATTCCCCCACTGCGAGCAGATCGGAGAAAGGGTGAGGCACTGCTGCACCAGGTGGATTAAAGGGCGTGTTTAGGAAACCCAGAGTGGACTTTATTCAAGGATTAATACACTACAAACATACAAACATTTTCCATCTGCTTCATCCAACTCAGGGTTGCAGGGGTGCTGGAGCCGATCCTCCAGGGCACAAGGCAAGGTTCACCCTGGACAGGATGCCAGTCTATCGCAGGGCACGCATCACTCTCACTCACGCCAGGGTCAGTCTGCCCAGAAGCCAATTAACCCATCCCAACATGGGAAAAACACACAAACTCTACACAGACAGCACCCCAGGGCCCAAGAGCTGCGAGGTAGCAATGCTAACCACTGGGCCACTGTTGCAGGATGCAGGATGTTAAGGGGGTGGCAGTATACAGTCACAGCTTTGACACCAGAGTCCCCCAGCATGCACCACACACACACACGAACCCACAACCTTCCAGTTTCAGGTCCAGATCCCTAACCGCTGCGCCCGTGGACGCGCTGGAGGCCAGGGCAGGGCGCTCACCTGTGTGCGTGAGGACGTGTCTCTTCAGGTGGTAGCTGCTGCGGAAGCCCCTGTAGCAGTGCTCGCAGATGAAGCTCTTCTGCAGCTTGAGGGAGCAGTCCCCGTTCTCATCCACCACCACTACCTGTCGGCGCCACGCAGGAGGTCAGAGGTCACAGAGAGCTGCAGTCATCCTCTCCCCCGCCCCCTCCCATCTCACCCCCTTTCATTTTCCTGTCCCGCTCTCCCTGTTTACACGCACCCCCCCCCCTCTGTTTCTATTCAATTCAAGGTGCTTTATTAGCATGACCGATGGGTACAATCAGTGTTGCCAAAGCAAATAAAAATAATACAACTAACATGGAACAAAACAAAAAAAATAACTCATATAAAATCTACAGACATATTACAGCCATCTACAACAAAGACATATCATAAAATATTGACATGTACTGTAGGTGGCTGGAGCATGACTGGGAGACAGACTCACTGTTCCTCAGGCTGTGACAGGAGATCACATACTGGGCTGCCAGTTCAACTGAGTTCCCTCCTCCCTCTCCCAGTAGGATTGGGACCCGTTGTGATTCTGGCAGGTGTGGGAACTCTGGGATTAGATTTCTGAATTTAGGGAAGGATGTTTCTCGAATCCCAGAGTATCTGTCACAGTGCAGTAGGAAGTCTCTATTTCTCCCCGCTGGCAGTAGGAGCACAGCCTGTCCTCTCTGTTTCTATCTAACCTCCATCGTGCCATTGCCCCCTCCCCACTGACCCCCCCCCGTCCCCCTCACTTTGCAGGGCGTTCCCGACTTCCTGTTCTTCTTCTTCAGCTGCAGCTCCTCGCTCTCCCTCAGCTCTTTGTCGTCCAGAAGACGGGACGAGTGGAACTCCCCTTCCTTCCGAATGAGCTGGGACAGACAGGGAGAGAGAGCATTAGATTAATAAGTCACAGGCTAGCCAACAAATCAACTCAGGAAATACAGGGGGAAAGAAAGTGCTTGACACAAAGGAACAACAAAGTCACAGAAACTGGAAGTGGCTAGTGAGGCGTCCCAAGAATCTAGGGCCGCCAGTCAGACATCTAGCTCGTGTGAACGTGTGTAATTCTCGGAGTTTCAAAACAAGAAAGGACCTGAGGTGTCCCATAGCGTCTGGGTCTACAAAGGTCAAACTCTAGGTTATATTATGTTTGGTGCAGAAGGCAGGTTTGTCTCTTTTTTGGGGCCGAATAGGTGTTATATAGGATTAGAATACACGGTAGCGGTCTGGGGTTTTTCTGATTTGTCAAGACTTAGATCCTTGAGATGCCTTTTTAGAAACAGTGTGACTTGTATATTTATGTTGTGCGATGTTTAGTTTGTGTCGTGTTATTATGAATAAATATTTGTTCAACCCAGAGTGCCTGATGTATTACTCTTTTCACTTAAGCTGTGCCAGAGAACAAGAACACATGTGCCTCTAATTATACCAACCACTTGGGTATATTCTTGGCAAAATTTTTACAATTTGGAGATCATGACTATTCTAATTACTGATTATCCTGCTTGTTCAAGTTCTAGTACGCTCTATTTTCATTACCTCCTATTTATAAACAGAATAAAGTTTTTTTTAGTATTTAAATAGCTAAAGAACAGTAAAGGAAATGGTTAATGTATTAAATATTCCATTCAGACATTTACCAATGAAGTATATGACCACACACCCTCTGGCAGAGCAAAGACAGTTGGGTATTAAACAGTACTAGACAGACAGAAGAGTTTTAGGAACTCCAGGGCTCGGTGGGTTTATACCAGCTGTACTTAAGGAAACGAGATGTTACTCCTAATTCAATGACAACCCTCCCCCTGCAGTCTCTCGAGACAGGGGAGATACCCACTGACTGTAACATCGGGAGTGTTGCCTTCTTCCATAACACCAGCAACAGAACTGAACCAAGCAATTAAAGATCAAAAAGGCTCCTGAGACGTGCGAGATAAAGGTGAAGATAATTAGAATTTAACTAAAACGTTTATCTTTACGGCAATAGGATGTCCTGGAGAGCAGTCAACATGGATTTGGAAACCGCAGATCTTGCTCAGCCGTCTGCGAACACGCAGCAGCGGTAAAGGACGGAAAGAGTATCTGATATTGTATATGCAGGCTGCTTTAGAAAATAAACACATGTCGGGGAAAAGTGATACAGAATATAAGCATAGAAGAAAAACAGAATCTCTATGCTGTGAACGTCCAGAACATTAGTGCTTGAGCAAGCACACATGGCCTCGTGGCAGAGATGCAAGGAAGGAAATAAAAGCCAATGGGAAATTTGGCCAGGATATCAGGGTATTACCTCGGATTTTTAATGACCACAGCGAGTTAGGACCTGGGTTTCGTCTCAGCCAAAGTACAGTTTCCCCCATCACTACCCGGGGGTATTAGGGCCCACCCAGACCGCAGGGTGAGCGCCCCCTACTGGTGCTACTAGCACCTCTTCCAGCAGCAGCCTTAGCTCTCCCAGGAGGTCTCCCATCCAGGTAGCGGCCAGGCTGCTGGGTGCTAGGGATGCACGAGGAGGCTGTGAAGCGAAGAGACAAGGGAAAAACAACCGAGAGCCTCACCAGTGGAGGGCAGCTGAGCCCCGTGGGCAGGACCATGTGACTCTGGGCACCGCGGTCACCGCCGTCTCTCTGCCCTGCGCCTGCTGCCCCCTGGCCCAGCGGCGACATCATCTTCTTCTGCCCCGCCATGGAGCTGGCCTGCATCAGCGCCATACTGGACAGGACCGCCTCGCAGCCCAGCAACCCCGCCTGCCGCACACACACGGACACACAGAACCCCGCCGTGAAGACCGCGAGACTTTCCAAGACAGCCGGGACCCGGCGGCGGCGGCGGCGGCAGGAACAGGCGGAAGGGAAGACAGACCCATTTCATGTGGTCGCGGACAGCGCTGCTCGGCAGGTGCGTCATCGCCGCGGTTACAGTCGCTGGGGAAACCGAAGGAGCCGTCAGTCAGGCTGGTCTGTGTGTCAGGACACCTCGCCCACCCCGGTCATCTGGCAAGAAACCTGGAGAGAGAAGGGAGGAGGAGGAGAACACAGAGGAAGAGGGATACGGGATGTGGAGAAAGGGGGACAAAGGTGTATCCGAGTGAGAAAGATAATGGGAAAGAGAAACTGATGGCGAGAGATCTCTTATAAGCACTTAAGTGTCAAGGTCGCTTCATGATTTTAGCACACAGTGGAAACAAATACTGTAACGAGCCCCTTCACAGCACTGCATAGACATCACACATGTGCATGCAGCTCACACTTGAATCTTAAGCTTTTGTACTGAATTCTACTTCTATTACATTGATCTGTCTACAGCCTGTAACCCATATTATTTTCACAGTATGTGGGCAATAGAGTAGGTTCTGATCAAATCAAATCAAAGTTTATCTATCAAATGCACAACAATACAGCGTGCAGCAGTAGCTGCTGGCAATGAAATGTCTTTTCTGCGAGCTCACAAAAATCACAAAAACAAAAAAAATCACAAAATTGAGGTTACGAAAATAAGGTAACATAATAATAGATGTAATAGAAATTGAATAAAACTCAATATGAGTAGAGCTGCTATGAAGAAGCAGACTGATTGATTCTAATCAATAATCAATTTGAAGATTCTAGATTTGACTAGAAGATTGATTCTAATCAATCAAATAAAAATACATTAATACATTCTTTCCAAAACCTTTCAGAATTACAGCCCTGCACACTCCAAATCCTTCTTCTAAAACTTATCATCCTGGCTCTTCCACCCCTGGGACTCCCTCACCTGCAGAGCTGCAGTCTGTGTCCCAGCGCGCCCTCACTCCTGGGCAGACCTGTCTGGGATCAGGTCTCTCGGACACACCCACGCCGGGCCCTGGAAGAGAGGGGAGGGGTCACTGACTGCAGTGGGCTCTTGTCCAGCCCTTGCTTAGCTGGCTTTGGTAGATGAACAGCTGGACTATCCCAGGAAATCAGCTTCAGCACTGTGGCTGGCTAGGCTGCTTCCATCACCCACACCTCTTGGTGTAAAGACATGCCTTCATCCCTAAACCCACTTTGCCTTTAATTTCCACTTGAAATGGTAAGGGACCACTTATACTTTCAGGTCAGGGCCTCTGCCCAAGACTGAAGAGAAGCTGTTCCTTCAGAGAAACACCTTTTTCATCCCCATTTTCAATCAGTATTTATAAACCACTACAGTAATATAGTGAATGGTTCTACCGGTACACTGAACTCTCTGGTGAGAAACTGGCAGGCCCTGTTGAGTTGAAACTCCTCTTCGTATATTTTCTTTTAAATCTCGTGTCTCAGAAGAACGAACGAAATACAACTGGAGCGTTTAGACTACAGCTGCCTGTACTACGATTACTACATTCTCAAAACCATCACTTTCCTGGAGAAGCCCAAGACGTACTTGGCGACCTGAAAAAAAACACATCTAAAAATACTCCAGAAGAAAAAAAAAATGTAATAACGCCTTTGGCTCGAGTGCACGACTTCATGTCGGACTTCAAGATGCAATCTGGCAACGCAGGCTCACTTTCGTGCCCAATCGAACATAATCTCGGGGCGAGTAATCGCTAGACAAGTTATTAACCTTTAAAACAGAGAGCACAGAACAGCTGCAAAACTATCAACTTCTGTCACTGATCCGTGCGATTGTAAGGAGTTCTTCCCCAGATCTCCCCACTTTGAAAAGCTCTTTACTGGGTCGCCTGTCTTCTAATGTTCAAAGACACGTGAAACACTTCTCAACAACAGCTCGGGGCTCAGCCCGACTCCTGCCTCGCTCTCCTTAGGGCGACCCAGTCGCCTGCCCGGTCCCACCGCACTCCGAACTGAAGGAACACCGGGCTCGGAGCAGAGAAGGGGAAGAATACAACTTGTTTTTTTATAGCAGATGAGGGCTTTTTCCCCCCCAGTGAAAGTCGGATTTCTGTGAAAATGAATTAATAAAGTCTTGATGTTCCGTGGCCATTCGCTGGCCCCAGACAACACAGGGCGTGTGGACAAGCATCGCCTCGGAAACCACTCTCCGGGCTACTTTCGAACAGAACTGGCGATATAAACACTCCGGAGTAATTTTAACCCCCAACAGAAATCAAGGCGCGTAAAATCCCATTTATTTACCTACTCGTTTATTTCCTCGTGCGGAGCCGTTTTTTTTTTTCAATCTCTCTCGGTCAGCTCCAGTGTTACGAGCAGTTTACAAACACAGGAAACGCCACCGGAAGTGCTCCCCGGGGAGAGCTGCGTCACGTGACTCAAGGGGGGTCGAGGTGGAAGGGGGGAGACCGCGTGCCTTCATCCGCCATCTTTTAGAGGTAATGAAGCTGTATGACGGCCATCTTTGGAAGGTCAATGTACAGCGCGCCACCATGTGGGCACACGAAAGCAGCAGCACTCTAAAGAATGGAAGGCGAAATGAAGGCTGAGTCGTTGATTGTGCTAGTAAATTGTTCCTGCTTTCATGATCATTCTTAAATAACTATTACTTTATTAAGGATTGCCAATCTTACTTTTTTTTTCCTTGTTATTATTCAATGCTATGATTCAAAGTCTGCTTTAGATGGTGCAACTATCAGCAGTAGGACCTACTGGAACAGTTCACCCTGCAGACACACTGACCCCCCAGGACCAGGACTGGACACCCTGCAGACACACTGACCCCCCCCAGGACCAGGACTGGACACCCTGCAGACACACTGACCCCCCAGGACCAGGACTGGACATCCTGTGTTAAACTGGAAGCAAGTGAATAGCTTGTATGTTGTGATTAAATACATATTAAAGATTATTCTATTATCTCATCTACATACAGATGTTGTCTGTTGCTAGGACTGCATCTGTGGAGTTTTTTTTATGGTCAGGCAATGGCAAAAACGTTTCTAATAGTTTATTCCAGATTATTTTTCTTTTAAAAAAACAAGGCACCACACTTCTCCTTAATTGTCAATGCCTGCTGTGAATTTAAAAACAAAAATATTGTAACAACAAGTGTCTCCTAATATCCTTCTCTCCAGAGTATTTTCAAAATCCTTTTTCTTTGTTGCCATATGTAACCAAAACGTAACACCAGTTGGCTATAAGTTCTGAAGCAATGAACACATACGGGTGACAATACCAGAAAACTCCATTACAGAAATGAGAGAAAGCCTACAGTGCTGTGCTTCCAAAGCACAGACACGGACTCACGGGGTTCTGCACATTTTGCTCAAATAACCTTAAAATCATATTTATCATTGGTTATAAACGAGTGGCTAATCAGCCGTGAGATCTGCTGTCGCTTCAGAGCTTTTCGGATCAGATCTGTTCTCTCTTCAGATCCAGCGCTCCATCATCTTCTCAGAGCTTGCAGGCGACAGTGTTGAAGTGGGTGAGAAGGTCGCGGACAGGTGGTTTGACTGAGGTGCAGCCTGCAGGTGTCCCTCGACGAGGAGGAGGTGAATACGACCTAAAAACCATCCGCTCATCCACCCAGTCTTAGGGAACCACCAGAACAACGGTGTCTCACCTGGGATTCGAACCCACAACCTTCCAGTTAAGTCCAGAACCCTGACCACTGCCCCATAGGGCTGGCCTGTTAGGATCCGGACTGATCCTGCTTGTGAACACACCAGTGAGATGGCAGTGTTCCCATGACTTGAATTCCCGTGTGTGCGCGTGCACGTGTGTGTGTGTGTGTGTGTGTGTGTGTGTGGGGTGGAGTTGGCAGGGGGGCAGATTTTTCAGACTTTGGTCACCTCTCCAGGAGATGATGGAATGGGTTAAACATGCTATTGCACTCGAGAGTGTTTTTTTAATTAAACATTCCAGTTTCTGACACATTCCAGCAACGCCAGACATGGCAACACAAACACACAAACTCTCACAACAGCCCTACATCCTGTGCATGTGCTCTTGTATTCCAGAATGTGGGCAGAGGCTGCAGCCCTTGACCTCTCTTCCCCCCTGATGGATTCCCTCGTTCCTTTTCCAGGGTTCTTTTGGGGGGAATTTAACAAGCTGCCATGTCACCAGAGAGACCTGCGCTGGATCTCTCACAGCCCATGGGCTGGTACCAGTTCACGTACCATCCCTCCCAGGGGGTCTCACGGACTCAGAGACAGCGCCAGGCGGTCCGCGGGGCAGTCTCCCGGTCTCCGCAGCGAAAGGGCCAAAGAACGCAGAGGGGCGGGGGGGGAGGAGAGAGGAGAACTGTGAGGTGTGAGGGGCAGAGGGGGGCAGCAACACTGACAGGGAGAGAGACAGAGAAGTGAATGGAAAGGAGGAGAGAGAAGGAGAGACAGGCAGCGAGAGCAGAAGAGAGGGAGAGAAGTGCAGAGAGGGGAGGAGAGAGGAGAGACAAGCAAAGTGAGGAGAGAGAGAGGGAGAGACGTACAGAGAGAGGGGGAGAGAGAGGGAGAGGCATACAGAAAGAGGAGGAGAGAGGAAACGACGCTCAGAGGAGAAGGAGAGAGAGGAGAGACGTGAAAAAAGAGGAGGAGAGAGACAGAGAACTGCAGAGATAGAAGGTGAGATAGAGACAGAGGTGCACTTCCTACTGCACTGCGACAAATATTCTGGGATTAGGGAATCATTCTTCCCCAAATTTACAAATCTAATCCCAGAATTCCCACACCTGCCAGAATCACAACAACTCCCAATCCTACTGGGAGGAGGGAACTCAGTTGAACTGGCAGCCCAGTATGTGATCTCCTGTCACAGCCTGAGGAACAGTGAGCCTGTCTCCCAATAATACTCCATTTATCTATATGTAAATATCTTATGATTGTGTCTTTATTGTAAACGTCTGTAGATTTTTTGTTTTATGTTAATTGTATTTAATTTGCTTTGGCAACACCGATTGTCCTCATTGGTCATGCCAATAAAGCACCTGGAATTGAACTGAATTGAGAGTCTCCCAATGGGAGAGAGGGACAGGGACACGGCGGAAGATGGAGGGGGGCAGAGCTCAGTGGAGGTGGGACAGGAGACAGAAGGACAGGGAGAGGGGAGGAGACACACAGAGGAGGCAGGGGGGTGTTGAGGGCTAGAGGTCACTGCCCAGCCTCTCGATCTCATCCAGGAAGAACAGGAGGTCGTCGCGGGTGAGCTGGGGGGACAGCACCACTGCGCGGAAGAAGTTGACGCGGTCGTGCTGGGGCTGGTACCCCACCATCATGCTGCCCTTGCGGACCATGCGCTCCTTAATGGTGGGGGCCACCTGAGAGAGAGAGAGAGAGAGAGTTACCTCAGAAGCCAGATCTCGGGGAAACAGGTACCACTTCACACTGGAGCACACAACCAGCTACACATACCTTGGCCTGCCGATCAGCTCATCTGGGAGTTTTGACCTGGCAGTGAAGGCACTGAGGCTGTCTACATCATTACAAGGAGGCTCTACAACATCTGCCCCCCCACCCCCCATAAAAATCTGGCTGCAAATATTTGAATGTGTAATCCAACCCATTGCTCTATATGGCAGTGAAGTGTGGGGTCCCCTCACAGACCAGGATTGCACTAAACGGGTCAAACACCCCACAGAAACTTTGCACATGGAGATCTGTAGAAACATCATCCATGTGCAGAGAAAACACCTAACAATGTGTGCAGGGCTGAATTAAGCCAATGCCCATTATTAATAAACATACAGAAGAGAGTATTAAAGTGTTGGCTACACTTAAAAAACAGTGACCAAAAGGCACTGCTTAAAGCACCACAAGGAACTACTTAGCTAAGAGCTGAGCCCAACAAAGAGCCCTCTGAGCCAGTTGGTCCTGAGGCTCACTGACCTGAGCCACACCGACACCAGCCAGCCTCAGGACAGCACTGCTAGAGCACCACAACTCAACCACATCACAGCACAGATTAAACAGCAATATCTCACACACTGGGACACATACACACAAACACAACATAAACTGGGATGCTACAGAACCCTAAACAGACAATACACACTAGCCGAATATTTGACCAAGATAAGAAACAGCAAAAAGAAACAGACCCTGATGAAGTACAGGCTCAGTGACCACAGCCTGGCCATAGAGACTGGACACAGGCAGACCTGGCTGTCCAGAGGGGACAGGCTGTGGTACCACTGCCAGCGGGGAGAAATTAGCAGAGGTGCACTTCCTACTGCACTGTGACAGATACTCTGGGATTAGAGAAACATTCTTCCCGAAATTCAGAAATCTAATCCCAGAGTTCCCACACCTGCCAGAATCACAACGGGTCCCAATCCTACTGGGAGAGGGAGGAGGGAACTCAGTTGAACTGGCAGCCCAGTATGTGATTTTTGTTTTGTTTCGTTTCATGTTCATTTTATTTTATTTGCTTCGGCAAACACTGATTGTACCCATCAGTCATGCTAATAAAGCACCTTGAATTGAATTGAATTGAATTGTAAGGTGAGCCCAGAGATAGGAGGAGGGAGAGGAGAGGGGTGAGCCCAGAGAGAGGAGGTGGGGAGAGGAGGGGGGTGAGCCCAGAGAGAGGAGGAGGGAGAGGAGAGGGGTGAGCCCAGAGAGGAGGAGGGAGGGAGAGGAGAAAGGTGACCCCAGAGAAAGTTGGAGGGAGGGAGAGAAAGGTGACCCCAGAGAAAGGAGGAGGGAGGGAGAGAAAGGTGACCCCAGAGAAAGGAGGAGGGAGGGAGAGAAAGGTGAGCCCAGAGAGAGGAGGAGAGAGAGAGAGAAAGGTGGAGTGGCACAGAATACACTGGCAAAGAAAATGAGCGTAAAAGGCAGGCAAAATTTGGGGAAAACTCAAAAGAGCCGCGGCGCGTGTTTACAAGGAATGTCCACTCTAGAGTTCGAGCCGACGGCTGTGTGTCCCCGAGACAGCAGGGGGCGATGCCAGGAGCACCCCTGGGGGTGTCTGCGATCACTCCCCCGAGATCTCAGCACCTGGCATCAAGGTGGCATCAAGTCCTGACCTCTCCATGGGCAGCAGGGTCTATCTATAGCAGCATTATTAATAAACCCGATTCCCTGCACCCCCTAAAAAGGAGAGCACACTGGTGTCGGGGGGGTGGGGCAGCCACTGGGGAGAGGGACAGGCATGGGAACTATTCCAGAACCAGCATCAGGTGACAGACAGCTGTGGGAGGGGAGACGGGAGAGACGGGGAGGGAGGAGCAGATCTCTCGGGGTGCGGACGGAGGCTCTTCGACGACAGTCTTCTGCTCTCGCCCACCTTGGCCAGCCGGTCCCTGTAGTCCTCGCTGCCCTCCTGGCCTCTCAGACTAGGGGGCGCGTACCAGAAGCACACGTTCACAAACTCCGGCTGCACCGTGGGGCAGAGAGAGAGAGAGAGAGAGAGAGAGAGAGAGAGAGAGAGAGAGAGAGAGAGAGAGCGAGAGCCGGGTTACACACCGATCCCCCGCCATGACACTCAGGCCGCAGGAACGGACAGCCCGCAGTGGGGCTTTCCAGCTCAGCTGTCCAGTTCGCTCGATGGTTCTCTCAGTTAAGGAAACAAATTCCCACTTCTTAAGGTGCTGCTGGTTTCAAGAGCTAAAGAACACTGCTGGGCTCCAAACCCTAGAAAACCAGGCCCGGACAGTCCTAGGATCCAATTCAATTATTTAATATTTTATCGACAAAGTCAATCCAGCAGACCTCTTCAGAGTCAGCACAGCCTAGAGGACACAAGTGGAAACTGCATTTCCCCTTCTTTACACCAGCGGTGGTGGGAGTGTGGAACAAGCTGCCCAGCCATGCTGTTGAAGCCAATACCCTGGTTTCTTACAAGGAACAGCTGGAAAAGCTCCGCCAACCAGAACAGGAGGCACTACGATACATAATGGTTGGTGGGACCCTGGAACAGGCCTCCAGTCACGTTGATGATGATGATGAAAAAGTCCCCACAGATTGGAGCCAATTACCCTACACACCCTTGAACGAACCCCTCACCTCCACCACCAGCTGGAAGCCCTCACGTTTCTTCATCTCCTCCACAAGGAACCTGGAGAGAGAGGAAGAAAAGAATCAGTTCCAGGCCATCATGAGAGATACGCTGGAGAACAGCGCCCCCACCTGGAGCGCCGAGGAACTGAGAGTGCTACGCACAAGGGAAAAATCCCAACGTGGGCGAGTGACTGCAGGCTCTCACACTGACACCCCAGTGTCCACACATAGCAGTACAAGAGGGGGCAGTGAAAAAGACTGGGGCAGGAAGAGACAGAGGGAGAGACGGAAGGGGAGAAACAGGCGGAAAAGAAGCAGCAGCAGCTGCAGCTGGGGGGGGGTGGTGGCAGCAGCCGGCTCAACAGCGCCACCTGGTGTAAGCGAAGGCCTTGTCCACGCGCTCCTCCAGCCCCCGCGTCCCCACGGCCTTCCACATGAGCCACAGCTTCAGGCAGTCCACCTTGCGGCCGCACTGCACAGACTTGTCCCCCGTGTCGTAGCTCAGGTCGTAGAACTTGTCCTGCTGGAACAGGTAGGTGGCGTTGGCGCAGTGGCAGCGCTTCAGCAGGTTCTGCAGAGGGGCGGAGGAGACCGACAGTTCACTACGCGACAGCCTGCAAAAATGTTTCCGACGGTGTTCCGCCACAGAGCGGACAAGATAAACACACATGGCTAGTCGTAAGAACATAACAGAAAAAGAGGTTCAATTCAATTCAAGTTTCAGTAATCATAACTGCTTACACTGATATAGCGCTTTTCTGGACACTCCACTCAAAGTGCTTTACAGGCAATGGGGAATCCCACTACCACCACCAATGTGCAGCCCCACCTGGATGATGCAACTGCAGCCATAGTGCACCAGTACACTCACCACACACCAGCTCTCAGTGGGGAGGAGAGCAGAGTAATGAAGCCAGTTCATAGATGGGGATTATTAGGAGGCCACGATTGGTAAAGACTAGGGGAAAATTTGGCCAGGACACCCCTCTTTCTAATAATCTGGGGAAGATATTTTTTACGGTACAGTCCAACACAACGACACAACAAGGAAGACAAACATTCCCAACAGAGAAGACAGTACGATGCTGTGACAGGAGATGAGAGAGTTACTTTACATTGTTTGAGAGTGATTATTGCAGTGGGAATGAAAGACTTCCTGAGCCTGTTACTCTTACACCTGCAGACACAGAGGCGTCTCCCAGGTGGGAGCAGTGGGAATTCACAATGGAGGGGGTGAGACACGCGCTCCATAATGCAGACATCCTTTGACGGAGACTTACAGTAGTGTCCTTGAGCAGGAATGCGGAGCACTGCAGCCCTGCCATCAGCATCTTGTGGGGGTTCCAAGCCACTGAGTCTGCCCTGTGCACACACAGTACTGGGGGTTAAAGGTCATGACCCTGGACCCCAGGTGAGGTAGCTAGAAGCAGACAGCTCAGGGCTGAATGTGTCTGCAGAGGACGAGACCTATGACCTCAGTGTCTGCTGGCTTTCAATTGCTTTAATCTTTCTTCTGAGCTCTTCCACCTCATGTGGGACTCAGGAGAAGCACATGGCAACCTGGAGCAGGCACGGGGTTCAGGATTTGACTGGAGATGCTAGATTAGGGATCACTCACCTCTCAATCCCCTTCATCAGATGCCTGTGTTTCTTGGAAAACAGCACACTTCCGCCCCAGGCAGCCTGAGAGTACAGACAGAGAAGAACAGACTCATTCCCTTCATCAGTCATCCCTCAGTCTGCGAATACACAAGGTGTCTCACAACGGGACTCGTTTGCAGCTAAAGAGCATTTCTGCATCCCACACTGGATGATGTATGCGAGATAGGAATTTGGGGGAGATCCTGACTGGCACAGGATTTGACACTGAGATGCACATGGTGTCCATCTGTGGTCACTCTGTGGTCCAGTTTCAGGGTTGCAGGGATCTAGAACAAGCTGCCCAATTGGGTAGTTTGATTCCCTCAAAAAACATCTAGAAGGGATCAATAAGTCACTCTCAGTTGGGCTTCACTTTTCCTGGGACGATCTCTCATCCGTCCGAATGTACTCACGTCCACGTGTAGCCAGAGCCCGTGCTTCTCACACACATCTGCGATCCGGTCCAGGGGGTCGAACGCGCCCAGGATGGTGGTACCAGAGGTAGCACTCACCAGGAAAGGCACAGCACCCTGTGGGGCGAGGAGAGGGAGTCGGGAGTCCAGGTGCAGCTCCTCTCAAACCTGTACACACTGCCTGTTGGTCCATACACTCTCACGACAGGACTGCACCAAGGACAGGCACACACTGGCACACTCACACACCCACAGGCACACGCTTCTCGCACACTCACACACCCACAGGCACACGCTTCTCGCACACTCACA